GGTATAAAGAGTTTTTTACTAATTTGATAGTCTAAAACACATCATCCTGTGGTTTTACTCTGTATTTCTTTCCTGGCTAATGGTGCCAAACATTTTTCTTTATCTTTGTTTACTTGTTATATTTCCTCATTTGTGAACAGCCTGTTCAAGTCCTTTGTCCATTTATCTGTTAGGGTCTTAGTATTTTTTTTATCAATTTGCATGAGTTTTTTCCCATTATAAAGATTCTAATACTTGTTATACTTACTAAGAGGTTTCCTTCTTCCTTTGGGCTGTTTTAATTTACAGTGTTTTTGTTGATAGAGACATTTACCAATTTTTTATAATTTAATGAGTGTTTTCCCTCATGCTGTTATTGTTTCTAACATTGAAATTCTTAAAAGAGAGGGTCACACCAGTGGGACCCCATGGGTCCCAATGGGTCTCTTCCTAAACTTCACTCTTTCCAAAATTCACCATCATCCAGCTGTTGACTCCAGGATGCTTTGCAAACTGCCTTTGCTAATGTCATCAATGACCTTCTACCACCTTTCAAGTCCTGTGGCCCACCCACCACCCCGCCCGCCCCAGACTCCCTGGAGGCATCTGGAAGGTGGAGAGCACCACTTTCTGTGGCCACCGGCATGAAGCCTGCTGCCCACCTCCCCAGCACCATCCGCTGTTTCTCACTAGATTCTCCTTCTCAGTCCCCTTTACCAGATCCTCCTCATTCTCCCATGTCCAAAAGTTCTGAGGGATGTCTTGTCCATTGAGACATATACACCGGGTGAGCAATCTCATCTAGTCCTGCGGCTTTAAATGCCAACTTGATGCTGATGTCTCTCAAATTTCTATTGCCAACCTGGACCTCACCCCTGAACTCCAGACTCCACTTCCTCTGCAACCACCTCCACTTGGATATCTAACGGGCACCTCAAACTTCACATGACTGCAAGTAGATCCTTGGTTTATGCTCCTCCGATCACATTCCAGCAAATGGCAAGCCCAGCCTCACAGGTGCTTGCACTGGAAGCCCGAGTTTTCTTTGACTCCTCTCTGCCATACCTAAATCCGGTCTATCCACAAGCTTTATTAAACATGTCTGGCATCCAATCACTCCTGCCCACTTTCACCCAACCCGAGACGCCATCATCTCCCACCTGAGCTCCTGCTGTAGAATCCCAGCTTTCACTCTTGGCCCTTGTATCATCTGTTTCACACACCACACAGCCTTTAAAAAGTAAGGTGGATCCTGTCACACCACCACTCAGAACCTTCCAGTAAAGATTTTACTGTGCCCCGTATGTCCGTCCATAACCCGTCTCCCACCCTGCCTCTCTCTCCTTGCTTGCTCACGCAGCTCCAGCCATTTTGGTCCTGTGATTCCTTAACGATGCCAAGCACCCTCCCGCCTTAGGGAGTTTGCTCCTGCCCTCGGCTGCACCTGACACGCTCCTCCACAGACATCCATGGCTCCCTGCCTGGGCTGCTTTAGACACTACTCGAGTCGTCTCATGAGGGACACCTTCCTTCACTCTGCTTTATTTTTTGCCTTCATTACACTTGTCACTTACACAGGATATACTGTGTCTGCTGTCCGTTTCCACTGACTAGAATACAGCCCTGGGGTAGAGAGCCTCAAAGTGGTTCTCCATGACCCCCACTTTCCAGTATTCATGCCCTGAGGTAATGCCCTCCCCTTAAGTGTAAGCTTGACCTAGCAACTTATTTCAAAACAGATGGAACCTGGAAAAGGGGATGGGAGGTCACTTTCAAGATAGGTTACAGAAACCACTAATTATTGTACCTCCCCTCACCTCACCCCTCAGCCCAGAGGACAGGCCCACATTGCCAGGAACGGATGTCTCTGGCTAACAGTCAGGGATGACCTGAGGCAGACAGCACACAAATGAGCAGGAAACAGGTCCCCCCAGCAGCCCCAGCTGATATCTTAATTACAGACTTAGGAGAGTCCCCCAGGCAGGCCATGGCCAAAGTTCTGACCCACAGAAACCGGGAAATAACAAATGTTAGCTGTCTTATGACACTCAGTTTTGGAATATGTCACACAGCAATAGATGACTCAAACAAGATCCATTGGGGCCAGAATCCATCCACTTGATTGGCATTATCCCCAACATCTAGAAAAGTGCATAGCACATTACCCAGCAATATTTCTGAGTGAATGAATGAATTTCAGGACTCGTGCTAAAAAGATGGCCTGTCTGGTTCTGGACAATGTGGCGTGCATGTGTGAGTCTGGAACTATTTCAGCTATTTCACTACCCTTTGTGAAACCAACTAGGAGGCAAAGCCAATGAAGAGGGGGCAGAGCCAGGAAAATACGCAAAACCAGAGCCCCAACCAACATACGAGCTCTACTCTACATTTTTTTGGTTATCTGAGCAAAGTTTAAGCTAGCTTGGGCTGAGTTCTCAATAACTTGAAACTAAAAGCATTCTAACTATTACATTTTTTATGGCGTCATTCTCTCCCATGCCCCCAAATGTTCTTTATCTTCTTCTTTCCTCTGCCTACCTCATTACAGCAGATTACAGTTGCCTACCCAGTTTCCATTCTCCCTTCTTCTCAACCAAAAGAACCACAATTTAGGACTTCCCTGGTGGTCCATTGGTTAAGAATCCACCTGCCAGTTCAGGGTTTGATTCCTGGCCCCGGAACTAAGATACCACATACCATGGAGCAATTAAGCCCGTGCACCATGGCTACTGAGCCTGCGCTCTAGAGCCCGAGAGCCACAGCTACGGAAGGCTGCACACCACAGATCCCATGCTGTGCAACAAAAGAAACTGCAGAAATAAGAAGCCTGAGCACCGCAACTAGAGAAAACCTGCTTGCAACAATGAAGACCCAGCACAGCCAAAAAGGAAAAAAAAATTTTTTAAGAAGAACCACAATTTAGTTGGAGCAGTAACAGGCCTAGCTAAAGAACTGCATCACCTAGCCTTCCTTGAAGCTAGGTCAAGTGACTAAATTCTGGCCAATGTAAGCAGAAATTATGGAGTAGGTCTCCTAGAAAGACTTTCTTAAAAGCAGACTCATTTGACAGGAAGATATACTTTTCTCTTGGCCTCTTCCATTTTCCCTCTGCCTGAAATGGGATAGTGGGACCTAAAGTGGCCGTTTTGTGATTGAGGTAAATTTGAGAAGGAAATGCACACATTAAATATGGTGAAAGGAAAAACGAGCGCCTGACTCTCTAATGAAGCCAACATACAGACAGCCCCATGAGAACTTGTGTTATGAGAAATTAAAATCTGTTGTCTGTAGTGGAGCTGATGTAGCCCTTGACTGTGAACCTCCCCAGGGTCTGTCCTTGTCTCGTCGTTTTGTGCCACACACTTCTCCCAGCTGGTCTCATCTGCTCCCACTGTTTCAGGAACCATCTACATCATAAAGACTCCCAAAATGATGCCTGCACCTTCTGCCTCTCTCCCAAGCTCCCAAGGGACTCAGATGTCCCCACTGGGGGGCACTTAGAAGCAGGTGGGGACGGCAAGGATTCTGCAGTCAGGCAGGTGTCATTTCCAGCCCTGACTCACTCTCCAAGCAAGCTTGGAGGAACAGCACCACCTCTAAGCCTTAGCCTTCTCACCTGTGAAATGAGCATAATACCACTACTTTCATAAGTAGCTTTTTATGACAAAAATACACAGAAACAATGCCTGGCATAAAACCAGCACTAAATATGTTTAGTTACCTCCTCCCCGTCACCCTTCCCACCCTCTCCTCTGCCTTCTGTCCTCTCACCACCAGGTAAATGGCTTTACTCTGTCTCCAAAGCTAGAAACCTTGGACTCTCCTTCAACTTCTCTGTTATTTCCCATTATTCCATCAAAGCCCACCAGTGACCAGAGTCTGTTGCTTTTATCCCAGAACCGTGGCTGCACTTTTCTGTCTCGCTGATTTAAACTCTCACCCGGCCTTGTCTGGCTTATTCCTGTGGCCAAGCACAGGCTCTCCACAACTTATTTTCCATCAGAGCTGCCCCTTTAAAACAAACAAGAAAAAAAGATCTTGGTGGTGCACGGGGCACAGGTCTGATCCCTGATTGAGGAAATTTCACATGCTGTGGCATGACCAAAAGAAAAACAAAAAGTTTTGTGTCAACACAGCATATTGACCTTCCCTGAATTCTGATGCCTACAAAATAAAATCCAAATTCTACAAATGGTCCTCCAAGGTGTCCCCTCTCCCTACCCAGGTACTCACCATTCTCCAGACATCTCAGGCTTTCCCTGACTCTGTTCCCACACCTCCTGGGATGTGTGTGCGCCGTCCATTATACCACAGCACCACCATTAATATGTGGCCCAATAATTGAAAACTTAAACTTTTATCCCTGCATTTCCACTTTTGCCCTCACCATTCTAAAAGGGTCTGCTCCGGTCTCAGGGGAACAGGGTTGGATTGCAGACACTTCCCTTCCTGGCTCATCTTTCCCCAGCCCTAAGTCAGCTGAGCTGAATGGGGTGGGGGTGGGGAGGGTACATCCCTAGTGGAAACTGACCAGAGAGAGATATTTCCCCCAAACCAAGAAGTGATGGCTGGGCCTGGGGAGAGGAGAGAGGGGCTTCCGGGGCCTGCCAGCAGCAGGGACCTGAGCCCTGCTTTCTAGAAGCACCAGAGGATGTACTGGGCAGTTGGTGGAAATAGTCATGATATCTCAGGGCGACGGGGTCCTGCAGCCAGGGTTCGTGTGTCACAGAGACAGCAGCAAAGGGGGATGTAGGGCCCTGCTGGCTGAGTAACAGACCAGGATTTCAGCAGAGCCTGGGGTGCAGGGGAAGCCACAGGAAAGACTAAGACTGAATTTCCTGCAAGCCTAACAGGATGGGGGCTGAGAGCGAAAATGAAGTTAAATGATAAGAAATCATGAAATGGGGTGTTTGGTGCCCTGAGTTTCTTACCTGCTTGAGAAGCAAATGTCTGCCCATCTTATTGGGTTCCTGCCCTGCCCTTGCCCATGTGCCCTCTGATCTCTTGCTCTGGTCTTTCAGCCCCAGATTTCTGGCTCCCTGAACTGCAACAAGGAGTTCCTGCCAATCCTGACAACTTTACTCCTGGTTCATTGGACTTTGAGTTCCCTGCATAGCTGTGGACTCTGCAAGCAGTTTGTCCCAATATATCCGCAGCTGGGCCAGCCTCTGGCCCCCGAGGGTAAAGGGTGAGAAGCAACACAGTGCATAGAGCTTTTCTTTCCTCCCTCTTCTCTGGCAATTTTATTTCTCTTTCAGGACTTTGCTAAAATGTCACCTCCTAGGTGCCTTCACTGACCTCCCTAGGAAACATTCTTTGTCTGGGTTTCCAAAACATTTTGCTTCTACCTTTGTGCTTGTCATATGTTTTTGTTTTTTAAACTTTTCAGGGTACAGTTGCTTTACAGTGTTGTGTTAATTTCTGCTGTACAATGAAATGAAAGGATATACACACATATATGTTTACATACACATATATATGTGCATATATATCCCCTCCCTCTTGGACTTCCCTCCCACTTCCACCTCCCATCCCACCCCTTTGGCAGCGAACTGAGCGCCCTGTGGTATTCAGCAGGTTCCAACTAGTTAGCTGTCTTACACATGGTAATGTAGGTATGTCAGCCCCAATCCCCCAATTCATCCCACCTTCCCCTTCCCTTCTGCATGTCTACACGTGTGTTGTCTGCACCTTTGTCTTCATTCCTGTCCTCGCATATAGGTTCATCGGTACCATTTTTCTAGATGCCACACATATGCGTTAACATGTAATGTTTGTTTTTCTCTTTCTGACTTACCTCACTCGTATGACAGACTCTAGGTTCATCCACATCTCTACAAATGACCCAACATGGCTCCTTTTCACGGCTGAGTGATACTCACATGTGTTATTATTTGTGTATTTACATGGTGGCCTTTTCAACAGGAACCATGTCTCATTCACCTGGCACAATGTCAGCTACAGAATAGGGCCTCACAAATGCTTGTTAAGTGCAGTGCCCCAGATCCTCATTCACCCTTCTCTCCTTCTTTCTCTGTATTGAGTAGGTATGCTTTTGACTACAAGTAACAGAGAACCTCACTACAGTGGCTTAAACAGAGATTTGTTTTTCTCACTTGAAGAGAAATCTGGAGATAAGCAACCGAGGGCTGTCAGAGACCTAGCCTCTTCCTATCTTCCTGTCCTTCCAGTTTCAGTGTGTTGTTCATAAATGCTGTTGTACCGCCAAGCACTCCATACAAGTTCTAAACAGGAAGTAGGAAGGGTGAAAGGCCTAGTATGTCCCTTTGCATTAGGAAGGCACAGGTTTTCCCAGACTTCTCCTCACATCTCATTGGCCAGAATATGTCACATGACCACCCCTAGCTGCAAGGGAAGCTAGAAGGGGAAGGCAGCGGAGAAACTGGAGGAGCTTGGATGTGAATAACATTCTTGGCTCTCAGCCCAGACCTACCGAATCAGACATGCTGGGGGTGGAGCTCACAATCTTTGTTGTATCAAGCTCCCTCAACAATTCTGATTCAGCTCAAGTTGGAGAACCATAGTCATATATGATGGCCAGTGTTCTAGAAGGGGAAAATCCTAGACTAGAATTCAGATCACCCATTTCTTACTATAACTTTTGTTGCTGACTAGCCAGGAAACCTTGGTTTTCTGACCATTGAGTTGTGGTGAGGATCAACTTAAATAGTGTAGATGGAAACATCTTGAGAGCTGTAAGTCATGGACAGTTATACTGATTTTGAAATTATAAATTTCTTAGTTCACAGTTTATGTAGCTGACACATTCAGCAGATTGCAAATGCTTGGGAAAAGCAAAACTACCCATAAAAGGCATAAAAAGATCGAAAAGTTATGACAGTAAGGGACAAAAATAGAAATTGAAACCACAGACGTTCAAAATACACTGTTATCAAAAACAAATGTTTGCAGCAGTCCCAGTGGTTGCTGCTACAGGTGGTTTCTATGAGAGGAAGGAGGACATACGTAGTTTCAAAACAAATACTTTGGAGGATAATGAAATGGAGCATTTAGGGGAAAGGGTTGGTAAGAAGATGTGGAACAAATGTAAGGGATTTGGTGTTCTGCCGTTTGGAGTAAACATACTGAGACCTCATTGTCTGAGTTCCAAGTAGAGTGTCCATGCCTCCCTGTAGTAAAACCTGCTCACTCAATCTATTTATTCCACAACAGTCTCTCATGTAACAGACACTGAGTGGTCTTTACCAGTGAACCTGGCCAGCTCATCAGCTGCTCACTAGGCACCAGGGAAGTCACAGTCAGATCTGCATTTGCCTTCAGATAACCTTCTCAGGGTAGGAACTGGCCATGATTAAAATAGCAGAGGTGTACCAGCACTGTGTGTGTGTCACACTGGGGGTGTGACCTGTCTGCTCAGGTGAAAACCACAGTGTCAGGAAGGAAGTGCTGACAACTCTGTGAATACAGTAAAAATCAGTGAATGTACAATTTAAGTGAGGGAAATTTATGACAGTTGAACTATAGTTCAATAAAGCAGTTTAAAAAAAAAGAATGAAGTGTTTTCACTCAGAGACCCCGTGACATAGAGGCTATGAGCAGCTTAGAGACTGTGTGTCCATGTGTCAGTTAACTTTGTACAAAATGTGAAGCCAAGGTTTGTTTACTGATTGATTTGTTTAACATCTGGACTCCAACACACACATGCTGTGATAAGAGAGCTTGTAAAAGCAAAATCACAAAGCCACCCATTCCTTGGGCTTATGAAAGAGGGTAGCAATCTGCATGTGAAAAGCTGATGATGTAACTGGCTGAAACTGGTGGTGACCTGAAGCCCAGTTCAATTCAACTAAATAGGCCAGTTCTGGGTCACAGATTCCAAATATTCAACTACGGTGGAACTGGACTTTCTGGGGGTGTTTCAGCTCATTGATCAGTCGGACAGAGCTTCACCTATTCCTCCTCCTTCCCCTTCTGTGGACCCAAGACCACTCAGCCAAGCCCTGAGTGCAGGCCTAGTAGGCAGCTGGGACAGCTGTAAGTCCATGCATGCTCGTGTTTACTCCATCGTGATCCTCTGCTCCTTTCCTGGGGAATTCCTACAGTTATTGCTGGCATTGAAATGTAGCTGGCGAGACCATGAGTCTCTGGGTCGAGTGCAAGCCCCACCACTCACAAGTTAGTGACCTGGGTAAGTCAGTTCACACCTCTTGATCCCATCCCCTCTCAGAGCTTTGAGGACTTTGTACTGACCCCCTCTCTCCCTCACAGTGGTCTCAGCTTCTCTGTCGTGCCTTTCTCACCAGCAGTACCAGTGGCTGGAACTTCTCCCAGAGTAAAAATCCAAAATAAAGACAAAACCTCCCTGTCTCCCCTGTCACCTCCAGTGCAGCCCTTTGCTCTCCTTCACAGCAAAATTCCTGAAAAGGAATTGCTTAGTGATAAGTGCCCCCTTGCCCTGAAATCCATATGTTGAAGCCATAAACCCTAGCACCTCAGAATGTGACTACATTCGTAAAAGGGCCTTTCAAGAGGTGATTAAACGGAGGCAGTCTGAGTGGGCCTCCGTCCAATACGACTGGTGTCCTCACCAGAAGAAAATATTAGGACACAACACAGAGGGAAGGCCACCACCTGCAAGTCAGGGTGAGAGACCTCGGGAAAAAATCAACCCTGCCTGCCTATACCTTGATCTTGGACTTCCAAGTCTCAAGAACTGTGAGGAAATAAATGTCTAGTGTTTAAGCCACCCAGTGTGTGGCACTTTGTTATGAGCCCTAGCAAATTAATACACTTAGACGTTCTGCCTCTGCTTTCTCCTCTCCTAGTCTCTCTCGGGATTTTCCTTCCTCTTGTGAACCTAGTCCAGTCAGCATTCCATAGCCACCAACAAATCCGCCAGACCTGCTCACCCGTTACCGTTAGCCGCCATCTTGCTGGATCCAGACACCACAACACCGTCCTCATCAGACTCGGCTTCTGTGCAGTTTCTTTCCTTCCGAAGGCATTTTCAGCCCTCGGATTCCAGGTTATTTCACTCTTAAGTTTTCATTCACCCCATCAGCTGCTCCTTCTCAGTCTTCTCGGCTGAATATTCCTTTTTTCTGTCTTCTAAAAGACAGAAAGAGCCCCTGGCCAGGCCTCAGCCCTCTTCTCGGTCTATAATATTTCCCTCGGTCATTCCATTCAGTTCTTTGGCTTGAAGTGTTAATAAAAAGCTGATAAGTCATACATCTGCATGAGCAACCCCTACCTACTTGTTCCTTGAGCTCCAGGCTCAATATTCAATTGCCTGGAACATTTTCCCTGAATATCCAAACAGCATTTCGGACTCAAGGCGTCTGAAAATCCAGGCTTTAACGTCTCATCATATTTAGAATGAAATCGAGATTTCTCATTCCTGCTTGCAAGTTTCCTCGTTACCCTTTAGACAGCATCTTCTTCCACAGTCCCTTCCCTCACCACACTCCCTGCACTCTGCTGGCCCTCTATGCACACCTGGGGTGGCCTTTACACTTACTGTTCCTTCTGCCTGTACTCTGAGTCACTGCCTAGAGCCTCACAAGGCCTATTTGGTCCTTTGCATCACTCAGGGCTTGACTCAAAATTCACCTTCTCGAGAGGCTTTTTTTGACCCATTGTCTCAGTATCACTCTCTTGAAGGTTGCAGAATGCAGTACACTCAGGTTACACTAATAACATTTTAATAAGCTCCTACTATAGTGCTGAGAATTATATTAAATGCTTTATATGCATGATCTCATTTACTTATCAGAACCACCTAATGAGACATTCTTATCATCCTTACTTTGCAGGTGAGGAAACTGAGGCTAAGAGTGGTTAAACCCAAGGTCAAACAGTTTGCACTAAGGTCTGACTCCAGACCTGGTGCTCTTAACCATGACGCTCAGCTGCTTCTCACTTTAAACGCTATTCCTGATTATGGACAATATGGCTTCCAGGAATTTACTTTCCAGGATTAATTAGTTTCCACTGCACTTGTGTTTGAGCTGGTAAAGTAACTCTGCTGTATCAGTGTTTGCTAGGGAGGCGCTTATTTTTCAAACTCTGGTTTTAAACAATCAGATAATACAAAATGCAGGTTTCATGGGGACAAATTCAAACATGGGTCCAGACCACCTCTGTGGTTCTTGCTTATAGACTTATTAAAGAAGATAAGGGTATTTTCCTCATCTTTCTTG